GCTGGAACTCTTAAAATAAATAATTGATCTATGCAAACTACAATTACATATATTAAGTAAGAAATATTACAGGAATTTCTTTGTGTTTCTCCACTTGTCTTCTGCTAGCCCTGGTAGCAAAGGTTGGTTGAGCTTTAACTCAAGTAGGCAGAGCTGGCTAAACAGTATAATTTCCCTTGATTTGTCAGTAACATTCCTAATTTCAGTAAAATCAGTAACTCTGTAGACCTTATGACAACTGTGCAGATTTTCAGTGAGAACTATTTAACAAAGAAAAACAAGAAAAAAAACAGTGACTTCTTGGAAAGAGTTTTTTTTTAGAGTGAAAGGAAATGAGATTATAATCGCTGCAGAACTCCATAGTACAAAATCTAGTACTAAAAATAGTATGTTTAGCATTAAATTTCCTGCTTTAGTTCATTTAATTATTACTAATGTGGAATGAACTTCATGCAGCTATTGGAAATTTGGTGAAATGCATATGGAATATCTGCATTATTATTGAACCTTTGTTTCCCTTCTCTTCCACACTACCCAAGACCAGAGAACTCAGGTTTTGTCTTTTGGGGATACAACAATCTGACTGAAAGCCGGGCATTTTTTTTTTTTTTGAAGGAATACCTTAGACTATATGCTGCGATGTGTCCTGTGTTCCTTGGATAAGATTTAACAAGGATTTTGCCTGTATATAACGTCTGTATCTGTTAAAAGAGTCAGTATCATTTTTTTTTCTGTCAGAAGAGAAACTACTTCTTTGACCTCTAGCTGAAGAACTTGGACTCCTGAGAACAGAGAAAAAGGGAGGCTGCTACAGATCCACGATCTTTCTGTGGTTGTGACCTGCCAAAGACAGTGAGAGAAATGCTGCAAACAAGCACACTAGGGACAGAGTATCACCTCATGACAACTTGAGATGGGCTTAAAATCTGGGAGTGGAAAGGCTTTCCAGTATTCATCCTTTGTTTGGGTGTGCTACTACCTACGGGTAAGCTGTGCTAGCCCCAAACTTGGAAGGGTGAAGACAGGGAAGGTAAAGAGAAGCTGTTCTGACAGCTTCTGATCACTCCAGCCGTGCACCTCTTAGTGGAGCCTTATCTTGGGTGGAGTTTATGCTCAGATAAAGCCTATGGCAGCAACAGGTTTTCACAGGTTTGGCGAGGGGCCCAGTTTGGACTTTGCAGGGCAGGGGGAGGTAAGGGGCATTAAAGAAGCAGGCTTTTCTTGAAAACTGCAAGATGATTTCTTAGTCTTTCTGCCAGATAGCAGATTACTGGGACAGTGCCCCTGTGCATTAGTGGCTTTGCTAGTGAGATATATCCTGCACGTAAGGGTGGTCATAACTGCCTTCAGAAGGTGGGAAGGAACAGTGAGAGCTGTGACTGTTCAGTTGGGCTCTGCTCAAGGGGCAGCTTTGCAGAGGTTATACTGTGTTGCTCTAGGGAATTCCAAGGACTGTGTAATGGGCTCAGGAACTCCCTGGAGTACATTTCCTTGGCTGGCCCAGGGGACTTCTGTGCCTTTCTGGCAGCAGTAGAAAGATTCAGGTGGATGACAGAGACCTTGTGCTGCCGATGCCTCTTGTCAGTGCCCTGGAGGTGCTGACGGCACAAGAGGGTGGGCAGTCGGTTAGAAGAGTTTCTTTAAGCAATTACAGTGTTCCTTGGGAGCAGATAATGTGACCAAGAAAGCACAAAAGGGCCAGAGAATTGAAAGCACTTCTTTAAACATGAACTGGCTTAGCACTGTTGAATGAAGGCAGCTTCAGCATAGTTAAACCAGCTTTGGGTCTTCTGCAAAAACAAATCATCTTTGCTTATTTCGCAGGAGTGCTTCTGCTGACTTCTGTGATTTCTCTGAAATTTTTCATATAAAGGACTTAGACTCTATTGTAGAGTATATAGGTTGTAAAAGTAGCCGTACTGGACCTCATGGCGTTCTCCTCCACTCCATAGTTATTGCTATAACCTGTCCTGTGCAGTTCGGAAGTATTCCCTGTGGTGGAATGAGCAGATTTCAGACTTGCTCTTCTCTTCTCCTCATGTTGACCTAAGAAATGTCTTGGTTTGTGTTTTCCTTGTCTTGTCATGGAGGAAGCTTACAAACCATTTCCCAAGATATAAAATGGTAACTAGAAACATTCATGATGTTGCTCTTGTTATTTGACCCCAAGTGGCCAAACTGTACAGTTTAGTTAACACTTCCTCCTTCCTTGCCTTTAGGTTTTGGGAAGAACTTGAGGGACTAAAACTTGAAAGGTTTCTGTGTCTAATTTATAGGATTATTTACTTAATTATTTATAAACCTACAAATAACAGAGAAAACGAGCTGGTAACAACAGCTTGATTTATTCAATACTTCATTCTAACAACGTTGCAACACTGTTTTTGTGCAATAGGAAGTACCACACTTGACATACCACCACTTTTTTGCTAGATTAAGCAAAAGCCAGTTCTGAGAGCTGGTTGTGATTTTAGAAGAGTCAGAAAAGTTGATAGTTCTGTGGTGGAAGAAGCCAGTTTGGGGGAAAATATTATCCAAGTAAAAGCCAAAGTATTTTCTACTTTTTCTAAAGAGCTGATTGTTTTTTTTTTTAATGTTTGTTTGTTTTTACATGAAGTTTACTCTTAGCTAGCCACTTATGGCTCTATTGAAGTAGAATATATAAATCAATCTGCTGCATATATCCCACAGTTTTCAGTTAGGGAGCTATTCTGCTTCTTCAAATAGTGGACACTGACCTTTATATCTTCAAAAAATAATGTTTGGTTGGCGTTTTTCCAACTAACTTCTATGGAACTCCATCAGTGTGTTCACATCACTAAACTTTATCAATTGCCTATTAATCAGGGTGTCATGTGAGCAATAATTCTTGGACTTCTCAACAGGATGGTGCATTTTTCCTCATTCCTGTCCCATCCATTCTCACAGGAAAATTCTTGGGTGCAAACTGCTTCTAGCTCATCTGTCAGAAAATTTAAGGGAAGTTAAAGCAAAAGCTACTCAAGATGCCACAAACTTTGGAGGAGATTGTTCAGAAGGTGCAGGTAGCATGGAAAGGCTGATGCAGTAAATCTCTGTCATCAGCGGTGCTGTAAACAGGAAGGGTGAAACAGGTCCTTGCTTGAGACCTGAGGCTTCTTAAAGCACGTGCAGCCCCACGCAGTAACTGCAGCTTCACATCTGCCAGACCTTCTCCAGTTGCAAACTAGTTGTTAAAAGCTCTTGTCTCCTACCCAGTTCAGCTCCCCAACAGAGTTCTTTTATGGGCTATTCTTAAAATAATGTCAAGGAGATGATGTAGGTGCATGTGTAGTGGATCTTTAGAGATCTTATATGTCCAGGGGCTTTGTCTAGTGCACAGCCTCCCTGGCAGATCAGCTGGTTGCAAACTCCTGAGCAACAGGAACCAGCGGGCAGGAGCAGGAAGGGGTCAGGAACCCCTTAGGCTTCCTCCTGCACTGCGGATAAGGAGCATGCCCAAGCACTTGCCCTTCGTTGCCATTCTGACAGTGAGGATCCATCTGGATCTTTAGTTTGGTTGGTCTTTACAATGTATATAGTGAAAATTGTCCTAATGTTGGGCTGTGAAGATATTTATTTTACAACAGTCCTGACTTGAAATTACTTGCAGGTTGTTTTAATTCTCAAAAACTGCATGAAGAACTTACTGTAGCAGCTGTGTGCAGGATCCCTCAGTGCTTCCTCCTACAGAATGCATTTCCCTCACTAGCAGGTAGGCCCACCTGAGTGGGTGGCACTGCCAAGTAGGTGTAGCTACCACCAGCTGCAGGCTGTGTTCTGCCTTTGGTAAGAGCAGTGAGCTGCCGGCTTCACCAGCTAGGGAGTTAAGCGCAAGTGGACACAGCAAGCAAAAACACCACCTGCTGCCACTGCACCAGGCTAGCAGTGGGTGACCCATCACTCACCCTGTCTCTCTCTCCTGCTTTACCAGATCCTCAGAGTCTCCTTTTAGGAGCTTAGCTTGAACCAAAGCTGTCATCTACTAAGGCAACTGTTTATCTTTGTTTTCAATGTCAAACTCAGAGGGGTGTGGGCTGCTGCCTGCACCTGCAGGTGATGTGGCTCTAGTGAGGATAAGTATTAAAGTGTTAAATAGAATAACTTTTTTTTTGACCTTTCTGTTGCAGGTGGTGAAAACAATAGGCTTGCGAGAAGTGTGGTACTTTGGTCTTCAGTATGTGGACAACAAAGGGTTCCAGACTTGGCTGAAGCTAGATAAAAAGGTAACAGACTTTGGGCTAATTGCTGCTAAAAGTTAAAGCTTACATGGATTTGTGTTATTGGCTGTGACTTTATAATCTTAGTACCTGTTGTTGATTGTTCCTTAGCTCTCATAACTCGTGGATTATTTTTAGAAAGAACTTGGTGACCTCTATGGGAATTGCTTAGGTGAGGTCTGGCCTAATGTGGGCTTGCTTTTTTTATTTTCTCTTCTTGAACTGTAAAAAGTCCTACTGCACTTCTCAGCACTTTGATGTTGTGTCTTTTTGGGCAGCAGTGGCTGGAGAACATCTTGACTTATAACAGTTTTAATCCTCCCTCAGTTGTGCGGTATCAGTTGCTGCGCTGATCAGAAAGAGCAGTTTACTTCTAGGCTGGGTAGGTGTAACACAGAGCTCAAGTGTTCCTCACGTGCCCCTGTTCATGGGGTTGCAGTCCATTTGAGAGCATCAACTCATTTGAGACTTGCAGTCCATTTGAGAGCATTTCTCTTGCTAGAGGCAGCCCAGGTATCATCTCAGTGTAGTGCAAGGGGTCTGTGTCAAATGCATATAATACCAGGTGAGTTTGTTATCTGATACAGCAAGGTAACATTCCTGGGTCACCAAAGTTGGCTGTGAAAGCAGAATTTTCATAGCTTAGTTGTAAAGCACAATAAGTCTCCTCTGTGTTTTCATACCAGTGAGCAGCTAGAATTAAGGAATGTAGTAATTAGCTGAATTAGCTGTCAGTCACTTGCTCAGTATGAACTGGCAGGTGGTTTATTGGCTTTAGCCTTGGAATTTTTTTCCTCCGAAGACACAAAGTCTAATGCACCCTGCTCATCTGGTGCCAGCTGGCACAGCCTGCAGGAGCTAAGCTGGGCAGAGGCGGATGCTTCGCTCTGAAGCAGCACCTGTTTGTCGCTGTTATTTAAAGAAAAGGGATGGTAGGGAGTGTTGCTGCCTCTGTCTTCTAGAGGGTGGCTTCCCAAGCAGTTGCATAATACAGCACTCAAGTCCGATTAGCTCAAACTCTGCAGGCACTTTTATGTGGGTAGATGCTGGTGAAAGGACTTCTGTTTGTGTACGTGTGTATATGTGAAAGCTACTTACTCTCTTGCTTGCAGCCCTGCTCATTTGTTGTGTTGCCTCTGTCCTCAGGTTTCTGCTCAGGAAATCAGAAAGGAGAACCCCCTGCAGTTCAGATTCCGAGCCAAGTTCTTTCCAGAAGATGTGGCTGAAGAGCTGATTCAGGACATCACGCAGAAGCTCTTCTTCCTGCAGGTGAAGGAAGGGATCCTCAGCGATGAGATCTACTGTCCCCCTGAAACAGCAGTTCTCCTTGGCTCCTATGCCGTGCAGGCCAAGTTTGGAGACTACAGCAAAGATGTGCACAAGCCTGGATACCTTAGTTCAGAGCGTCTGATCCCCCAGAGGTGAAGGATTTTTTTCCCCTAGAATTTATATTCCAGTTAAATGCAAATTTTCATTGAATATTTATTTTTAATTTGAACTGTATGTATGTGGGGTTTTTCTCTTCATTTCTATGCACTGTATTACAGTACACTTTTGTCATCTTTGAGCAGGTTAGAGAGAGGAAGTGCACTTGGAGCTCAGCTTTTCTTTCTCAAATGGTACCACCTTGCTGTTAACCAACAGCATGAATGTCACCTTTTTAAGGAGCAGTTTGTTGTCATGAATGTGTCATCCCAGGAGAAGCTTGGAGTGTGCATCCTTAATTGTAATATGCAATCCTAGAAATAGCATATCTGGAAATGATAACTTGGGAGTGTGCAACCCATCCTCACACAGGCTAAGTGTATGTTAAGAGGAAACTGACTTGTGTTTATGCTTCCTGATTGCACTCCAAGCAGTGTGTCTAATTCCAGGAATGACACCGCCTTGTGCTCTGCCTTAACCCTGTGGTGTCTGTAGCATTGGTGTGATTCTTTTGCAGTGTTCTGCTTATTCCTTTCATGCCCTTGGTCAGGAACCAGGAAGACACTTCACAGGATAAGAAAGCATTTTGAATTCATGCTGATAGCTCTGCTTCACAGAGTATGTCTCTGGGCTGAGCAGGATCTTCCTTTTGGCTCTAGGAAGATTTCTTAGTGAGACTAATTTTTGAGTAGAGCTGTAACAAAGATCACCATCAATATGTAGCCAAGCAAGAAGTCTAATCTCACTACATTCTCTTTTCCTGTGTTAGGGTGATGGACCAGCACAAACTCTCCAGAGAGCAGTGGGAGGAGCGGATCCAGGTTTGGCATGCTGAACACAGCGGCATGCTCAAGTGAGTGCTTTTTATTGGTCCACAGACTGGTCACTTTGATCCTTGTTAAATAGCCTTAAGTTTGTGGTTTTACGATATATTTTTAGAATAGAATCCAAGAGTGACTTGTGTGGGGGATCTCTGTGTATTTTCTAGTCCAGCATTGATTTGAATGGTAAAACTCATCAGAACTTGTACACTGCTCCTGAGAACAGTCCCTTAATTGGCTTCCTAAAAATTCCACACCCAAATATCTAGGCGTATGAGTGATGCCTTTGAGGGGATAAAATTAATGAATCTTAGATTCATTGGAGCATTTACTATGGAGAAAGTTTAGGTAAGGTATTGTTTCTGTTGACAGAGCCTTAGGGCAAGGATGAACTCTGGAAGAACTGAGTGTTACCGTATTTTTTTTTTTTTCGGAAGATATTAGGGCTTGGTAGATGGGAGTAAAGGACATGAATGTGTGGTCAGGGTTGTAACAAAATAACTCTTACAGTGAATCTCAAATGCTGAATGTTCAATTTTAGGTCCTCTGTTTGTGTGTGTTTAGGAGAAGTTACTTGATTCTTCTGAGGAATTCTTGCCTTCTGAAGTAGTCAGGTAAATGAGAGGCTAATTTCTGCTCTTCTGTCTGCTTTAACCAGAGAGAATGCCATGCTGGAATACCTGAAGATTGCCCAAGACCTGGAGATGTATGGAATTAACTACTTTGAAATCAAGAATAAGAAAGGAACTGACCTCTGGCTGGGGGTCGATGCCCTGGGGCTCAACATCTATGAAAAGGATGATAAGTAAGGCTTTTGTTTCCACCTCTCATCAACCAGAGTGAGGGTTGCTGTGGGAGCCAAGTGGTGCTTCTCTCTTATAGGATCATGGTGAAGTTTAGGACTTTCTTGATGTCCAATTTTGGACATCAACAACAGGAGGTGAACCTATGGTTAGAAACGAGCTTTCCATCCATTTATGCATAAAGCCAATCCTTTCATGACTTTTCTGGGTTTTGTAGTCTGACTTGCTAATGGCTGCCTCCTGCCTAACATGAGAGGTGTCTGTTGTAAAATGCAGTCTGGTGAATAAATTGCACACAGCTGTAGAGATGAACTCCATGGTAAAGACAGTGCCAAGCTTTCCTAGAGACAGCTTGCCAGCTATGCCAGCAGTGAATACCTTACGAGAGCTTAGATTAACACATCCGCAGGGTGTGTGTGGACATGCAGGACCTGTCCTGTACTGAAGTTAATGATAGCTGTGTGTACTGCGGCATGTCCTTGAAAAGATAGGTTGTGGGGTGGACATGAAACCAAAGGCAGATAACACCCAGAATCCAGGGAGGAGCTAACCCGTGTAAGTTACCATTAATGAGTGCATTAAATGAGGTCTTTGCTGAGGTGTACATGGGTTTAATCAGCCCTTTCTGGCAAGGGCAGAGCCATTAGTAATTGAATGGTGGAGAAAGAGTTCAGAAATGAGACTGCATCCACTGAATGTGCATAAAAGGATGTTGTGAACAGTTGTGTTAAAGCCTGCAAGTCACTTGTGCTACTCCACAATGAGAAAGCGAGTGAAAATAGACATTTTCAAATGAAGAGTTGTTGTCAAGATTTCTTTTTTTTCTCTCTCTCTCTCTCTCTTAAGATTCCCTGTCCTTTTCTGAATTTGTAACAGAATCATTGTAACGCAAAATGGGTGAAATCCTCTCTGTCTTGGCAGGCAGAAACATTCAAACGCAACTCAAATATTAACTCTAACTCTGGAACTTCTTTTGAGATGGCAGAGAGAAATGTGTGGGAGTTTTTTTGTTTTTTATTTATTTGTTTGTGTTTTTCCCTTCTGCAATGTTAGTATGTGCTGTCACCCAGAAAACAAGGAGTGTCACTTGAAAGAAAGGTAGTTTCACTCATGTTAATACCTCAGTCCTGAATGACTAGTCTTGCTATGTAACCAAGGTCACACAAACAGGTTTTTCGAGCTGCAAAATGAAGGCAGAATATAGCTCTTGACTGCAAAGAACTGTTAAGAGCATTTGCAAACTGAATATAGCACTGGAATAAACTACATGTTTCTACCATACCCCTTGCTGCTATGCAAGTAGGTCTTTTGAGCAGATGTGGGGACTAGCAAAACAGTAATACATACCCCACCTTTGGTTTGTAGGAGCAAAACCTAGGGGCTGGTGAAAAAACGAACATTGCATTGCTGAAAGCTGAGGAAAGTGAGACTATGCTATAGGTGAGCAACCCTCTGTACGTCAGTGAATATCAGTAATCTGATATTCAGATTTAATCTGCAGTAGAAAGGTGAATCTAGTAAATGAGGTTTTGGTTGTCTCCCACTGTATTATGTGGGTTGAAGCTGTTAAATGAGCTAACACGAAGGACACTGGCACAATTACTCAATCCTAGTCTAATCAAATCATTTTCTTCTTTACATTCTTACATTATTATTATATTACATTCTTAATATTCCTTATGCTCTTGCACAATCTTGAAACTGAGTTACAGGTTAGGGAGTAGTAAATTCTGAGGAGGATATGCTTTATTCCTGAAGTATTTTTCTTTTTTTTGTTTGCTTGGTTTTTTGTTTGTTTAATGTTTGAACTAAACAAAATCATGCTAGATAATAGCTTTTTGTCTTTGAACATTAGGCAAATTCCTCCAAAATTGCAAGGTTTATTTCTTAACTGTTGAGCTCTGTAGAAATTCTTAAAGAGTTCTAGTGAATCACCATCATTTATACTTCTTTAAGTGCTAAGCATTAAATACTTGTGTCTTCAAGCTGTTTGCCAGGAGTAATTGTGAGTGCTTCAGAGTGTGTTCAGAGTCAGGGAAACTATTGATAGGGTCAGACTTTTTCTTATGCTATATTCAGAATGATGACATCTTCATTTTCATCTTATTGCATTACTCTAGCAAGGTGGCGCAAACTCTTATTATTATATATGAAAGGCAGAATTCTTAATTGTTAGATGCTATCTCTAGAGCACCTCTGCTAGCACCTCCCTTGGTAAGAGAAGAATAATGTGAGCTTAAACATAAAATGAAATATTGGGGGTGGGGTAGGTTAAAAAAAAATATTACAGTCAAATTATACAAACCCTTGAATTTGTTGCAGAACTGGGCAGGTACCTGAAAGTGAAATAGTGGAATAGCTTGGAAACATCTTATGAATAACTTGGTGCTTTCTGTATGCTTCAATCTGGAGAACTTAAAAAAGAAAAGAAACACTGAATGATTAGTGAGGTTTACTTTTGAACAAACTCACAGCCTGAACTCTTAAGCAGTGGGGAAGAGCTCAGAGCCAGGATGTGGCCTTTGTTGCAGGGGTGCTTTCACATAGGAGAGAATTGTGTGGCACAGCTTGTCGTACAACCAGCGTGTGCAGTTCTGCCTCGTGACTAGTGGGATGGGCTGAAGGGGCAGTTTACATGGAAGGAAAGAGCTAGGATCTCTGTGTTTTGGAAGCAAGGTGGCAAAACTTGTAGCACTGCTTAAAAATTCTTTCTTTCCTTCCAGGTTGACACCAAAGATTGGTTTCCCTTGGAGTGAAATCAGAAACATCTCTTTCAATGACAAGAAGTTTGTTATAAAACCTATTGACAAGAAGGCTCCTGTAAGTAGATCTAGTATGGATTCTTAGCTGTTGTGTAGGAACAACTAATCATGTTTCCTCTCAAAATGCAGTTATTGCTGAAGAGAAGCCAACTGCAGATACTCTAGATGCAAAATGAACCTCAGTACTTAGAGCATATTTAGAGCTCTCTGTTTTTCTGTTCAGTCTAGATAAAGAGCTTATATGTCACATGTCTCCATGTATGTAACATGGAGAAAGATATAGCTAATTTTATACTTAAATCTGAGATTTCTTCACTGATTTTGCAAGTCTTCGGTGTAGCCAGATTGTATTCTGAGACCGCTTCTGTTTTTTTTGGTGTACTGAAGTTGGTGGGTAACTTCTGAATTAAAAAACAAAATTAATGCAAATGCTACTGCAAAACCACACAAACACTTGCAATATCCCTTCTTAATACTCCTTGTTCTCTTCCACCCTGCTGAAACTTTGTAGAAGAAAATTTAAGAAAGAACCATGGTGTTTTATTGACCTTCTCATACTTGGACAAGTGGCAGACATATGACTTCAGTAAATAACTTAAATGTAACTACTTGTGAATGTGGCTTTTCAGTAGTTAAAAACATGTATTTTTAGAGTTGTTTCAGTAAAAAATTGGCAACTTATTTCAAGCTGTTGAGAACTACAGGTGGATTAACTGGTGTAGGTGTATTTCATTCTATCAGTCTTATGAAACTACTGGGACAGTAGAGAAAGACCATGGGGTTTGTTTGTGTTCTTGGTCTCTTTTTTGCCCCCTAGTAGATTGCCTCGGTGAATAAATACAGCCTGCAGCAATATTAAGTAGATTGGTTTTGGTAAAGGGTGATGGCTCAGGAATCTTTTTAACCAAAAAAGAAAAAAGTCTTCACAGTAATTGAAATGATGTGCTGCTAAACTATTGGAGAAGCATCCTTCCATCCAGATAGCAGCCTGGCTTTTGTAGGGGTGGTTTTCTTTTTGTAGTGCTGTGTAAATAACAAAACACCACACAAATTGGAAGCTCATTTCTGCCAGGGCTGGATTGCTCAATAGAAGAGCCCCCTTGTGATCATGGGTGCGTCACGCACGGTGCTAAACATGAACCTCCTGTTCTGGAATGCAGCTCTCCATCCACAGCCCAACAGTAAATCTGGCCAGGTTTGAAATGGAAAGCTTTTAAAAAGAGGCTGAGACAGAAAGATGTTAATTCTAAAAACCTCAGCTGCGTTTCCTTGCTTTGTGGTCTCAGTTGTCCTTTTCTCTCTGGGTGTTGTTATGATTAAAGCTATGTATCGAAGAGAAGAATTCATCTGGACCCTCATTTTTAGCATTCAGGAAGTTGTCTGGACCATTTCATATGACTGTCTCACCTTCAGAAAAGGCAAGCGCTAACTCAGTGCGCTGTCAATGCAGGATTGAAGTTACGCTTTAATTTAGAGGATTGTACATGTCAGTGTTTAAATGGACATTAATTTAATGGGTAGAGTCCTTGCTTGGAATAAACTTTCTAGATTTTAGGCCTGGCTGCCCACATATTTCAGCATCTTCAGCATGGGATCCTCAGTGTTCCCAGTTATGCTGCAGCAGCGGGAGGCTGGGATGAGGAAATGCAGGGTATACTTTTGTGTTCCTTTGTGAACGCTTTGTCCCTTGGTTACAGCGTTCAAGGTCAAACACAGCCACCTTCCATGGCTTCAGCTTTTGCTTTCATTGAGGTGAACATTGCTTGGTACACATTCTTTACAATGTACACAAACGGTTTCTAAAATTACTTGTCAGAAGCAGGAGAGTTGATGAATAGCCTACAGCCCCAGTTGGTTCCAGGCTTGAGCAGCTTAGAGCCTCTCCAGCAGGATTATTGGGGAGGGGAAGCACAACACACCTTGGCTGGCTGCATCTTTTGAAACTGGTATGTGATTAAGTCAAGAAAAATATTTTGAAGAGAACCTGTCCTTGTCAGTCAAGTCATGCTGAAATTTATAGAGCCTGGATCGCCTTTCAGTGTTTCTAGTGTAACTTCCAGTTTTTCCAGAGATAGCTACAACTTGTGCTTTTGAACCCAGGCCCACGGTTGATGCTGCCCTACCAAAGCTTGCAGCCCTTGTATGCCCCACTTCCATTCCTCTCCTTGCTATCAGTGAGAGCAATCTGAAGGAATGGAAATTCCTCTGGTGGTATTATCCATTGCCATTATTGCCATCCATACAATACACAGAAAAACAGCACAGAAATGCAGAGTGTGTTCATCATGTAAGCTCAGACTACACTGTGAGCTATAAATAGTTGTGGAGTCTTAAGTGATCCGGCAGGTGAAGTGTGGCCCTTGGTCTGCCTTTCTTGGCACGCTTGCTTCTGGAAGAGCCAGTCTGGTGTGATTTCTGAAAAAGATTGTTTATAACATAGATGATAAGGAATGTGGGCTGTTCTGTTTGCAGAACAAGAAACTTTCAAATCCCTCAGGTTTCAGTGCTGCTTGTAACCTAATATTCAGTAGTAGTAGGTTTTGGAGGTTTGCTGTTTTTACTTCTTTGATGGTATTATAACAGCCTAGATGAACTTCATTAAGTAATGCAATGGAGAGGAAAGAATAATATTGGAGGATATTTCTGCATGGTGGGGACTTCACCTTTCTCTGAAATGAGCACAGATGATGCTTTGAATTTTGACTGTCATATCCTAACATGTTATTTTAACAATCCATTTCTGCTCTTCCAGGCAGAAGACAGAGCAAACCTGAAAAGTCATAACTGCTTATTCACACGTCGTCTTAGTGCTAGAGGTACACAGGTTGCCCAAGTGGTCAACTGCTGGCCCAGAACATTCTGTAACAGTTTAAAACTCCAGGATTCTCCCCTAAACAGAGATATTTATGGGGTTGTTGATGATACTGGCAGTTCCTGCCACTACATTTAAATAATCTGTGTATGTCTCAGTCACCATGAGGCTAGTGATGAGATGACACATCTGCAGTCAGTTGGTAGAAGAGAAAATGTGTAGACAGCTGTGCCTGAAAGACTGACTGTGGTCTCTCTCTTCTAGGATTTTGTGTTTTATGCCCCTCGTCTGAGAATAAACAAGAGGATCCTACAGCTCTGCATGGGCAACCACGAGCTGTATATGCGGCGCAGGAAGCCAGACACTATTGAGGTGCAACAGATGAAAGCCCAGGCCCGGGAGGAGAAGCACCAGAAGCAAATGGAAAGGTGAGCGTGAATGCGGCCAGCAGGACAGTGGGACAGGGGTGAACGATGCCAAACTGCCAGGGCTGAGCAGACAGCTGCGCCTGCAGGCAGCAGCAGGTCACGGCACGTGGGTTTCGCTCGGTTAGGTTGAGAGCTGTCCCACTTCCAGCGAGGTTTACGCTGGCCCTGCAGCTCCCAGGGAGGTGGCTCAGGGGTCGCACGACTGGGTACGACCTGCTCGTGCCTCCGGTGTGCGTAGCCTGCCAGCGCACTGGACACGTCAGCGCTGCAGGCTGCAGGGGGACGTGTGAGGAAATGTACAGCAGGCCAGCTCACACAGTCGTGTTCACCTAGGGAGGGTTTTCTCTGCCTTGTTTGTTAAGACCTGGCTTGTGTGTTGGACCCTGGGATGGCTGGGAGTAAGGGGAAAACTTCATCTTGTGCGTGTGAAATGGCAAGAGAGGGCTGAAAGACCTCTGATAGGCAATTAAAAGGGAGTCATGAATCCTTTGGACTTTAGCCACTGTCTCTGCGTTGTTTATGATCAAGCAATCATGCTGCCTTCTCCTGTGTTTGCAACTTGTTATTCTTTATTCCTTCACTGCTCTTGCTTTTATAGCTCCTTGATTTTCCCTGAGATAGAAGTAACAAAACAACTTTCTTCTGCAGCATACTACACAGTCCTGGTTTTCTATATCTGCCTCTAGTAGTTACTTGGTGTTTTTAATTTCTGAGACAGGCAACAAAATACAAATATTCTTAGGAAACAGGGTATCCAAAATTCAACAAAAATCCCAAAGTGTTAAATAACTGCCTATATGTATTTCTCTTTTATAGCAAGTTATATTCTCTTATTTTGCAACAGTCTCATAGTTGCTTCCCATTGAACTGCCTAGAGAAGAGTCCAGCCAACTTGCTTGCCTTGCTGTAGCTTAGCTCTGAGAATAACCTTGAAGTGTGAAATCTACTTAACAGGCAACAACTAGAAAATGAAAAGAAGAAGAGGGAAACAATTGAGAGGGAGAAAGAACAAATGCTGAGGGAGAAGGAGGAGCTGCTGTTGAGGCTACAAGAGTACGAAGTGAAGACTCAGAAAGCAGAGAAAGGTAAAGTGCTTGTGCTGGCTGACATGCATGCTGCAGAAGGGTGGTGTGGATCGCTGCCCTTGCTTAGCCCGGCTGCTGTGACACGGGCTCTCCTGGCAAGGCATGGAGTGGCTGCCAGTGGGGACAGGCTCCCTGCATGGGAGCTGGGCAGGGCAGCCCCCTCGCTCCTTCCCATGGGTGCTCGCGTGAAACCTGCTGGCTCCTGTGGGCAGCAGAGCAGTGCAACAGCGCAGCTGGGAGCAGACTCCATCCCCGCTGCCAGGAGGATGCATCCTGTGTTCTCCCAGAGCAGTGAGCTCCTGGGGCAGGGCTCAGCTCTTAAGTGCTTTTTGCTTAACTCCTAGTAAGAAAAGTAGTTTGGGACCAGGGTTTTCCAGCAAAACTGAAGGTTCTGTTTTAGTACACAGATTGAACAGATTGGAGACATCTGCTCCTTAGAGTAAACTGTCAGTTAAAGGCAACAGAAACATGTTGGTGTCACCGACTTAGTGCCATTGTCTTGTCGAAGATTTAATTGTAAAAAGCAGCTGACTTTGAATTCAATTGAGTTGAATTTGATACTTGATATATCCTGCAATGCTGCTTTGACAGCACATGGTGATGAGGCTGGAGTTGGGTACTTGATACTACCTAAAAGGCCATCTGCAGTTCCTACATTTTGGTCAGACCTGGGGACTAACAACGTTGAATCACCTCTTTCCAGAGCTCTCGGATCAGATCCAAAGAGCTGTTCAGCTGGAGGAGGAGAGGCGACGAGCCCAGATGGAAGCAGAACGCTTGGAAGCCGATCGTTTGGCTGCTCTCCAGGCCAAGGAAGAGCTGGAAAGACAGGCTATTGACCAGATAAAGAGCCAGGAACAGCTGGTAAGACCCAGTCGTTTTGATGCTAAGATATATACGAGGTCATTACTATTCCCTCCGAACAAGGCAAAGCCAGGAACCAGTGCAGTATGCTGTGTGATAGCATCACTCTAGCACTGGTTTCTGTCACAAGCAATGTGCTTTTCATTCTTAATTTTCTGTTTAGTCTGTATCACAGTGGAATGTAACACTCAACTCTTTTCTCAGTCAAAAAAAATTTTTAAGGGTTCTTATAATTTCAGTTTTGTTATTCAACAGGCTACGGAGCTCGCAGAGTATACAGCTAAGATTGCACTCCTTGAGGAGGCCAGGAAGCGTAAAGAGACTGAGGTTGAAGAGTGGCAACTCAGAGTGAGTATCTTTGGTTTGCAAAGTTGTGCTGAAATTCTGTATTTGAGCCTACCATGGTGTTTGGCCTGATACAGCTGTTCTGAACATGTGGGGAGAAACATCCTTACACCAGCAGAAAAGGGTAGAGTTATGTGATGAATTTGTGGGATGTCTCCAGAACAGCCTTCTTCCAACAAGCCTATTGTTTAGTCAAAATTCAAAATGGAAACATGTATAAAAACCAAAAAAAAAAAAGGTGATTGTTTTCTTGGAGCCACAGAGAGGGAAAAGGGTACATGTACAAGTGGTGCATTTACTCCATGATGGAATGTCTGAAAACATGACATCAATGAAAAGAAAGTGCAAGTGCAGCCACACCACAGGTAACAGTGACTTGCTGGGTCTGGAGAGCTGAATAATTTGCTGCAGTAAAACCATGAAAAATGCTGCAAGACTGAGTGCCTGGTCCCAGTGTCTTGGCAGCTTCAGATTGAATAGGAGGGTGGAATCACCAGACAAGCAAGGAGCCCAATTTCATTCGGAATGGAAACTCAGGAAAAGAAGTTCTTGCTCTGTTGAACTTATATTTACAACATACAGCTGTTCAAATGGCGAACAGAACAAAGATAAATGTAACTTCCTAGGAAGATTGATTGCTTAGATCCCCTGCATGTTGCACAGTGGATCATGGCACCCCTCACTAGCAAGAAACTTTGGCATGGGAATGTAATGAAACAGTCTCTGCCAGCTACAGAGGGTGGCAACTTCCTCGTTTTGTCCATTTGGTCGCAGAAGGCAGAACTGGGACTATAAGTGTCAAAAGTATTCATTAAGCTTATTTAGGCCAGGAACACATTAAAATATCTTTGTCTTCTTTTCCAAAGGCTAAGGAAGCCCAGGATGATCTGGTAAAGACGAAGGAGGAGCTACAGTTGGTAATGACTGCTCCCCCTCCACCACCCCTGCCCGTCTACGAGCCTGTGAACTACCACGTCCACGACAACTTGCATGACGAAGGCTCCGAGTACTCTGCCTACAGTGCAGAGTTCTCCAGCGAGGGGATCAGGGATGACCGCAATGAGGAGAAACGTATTACTGAAGCAGAGAAGAATGAACGTGTACAGAGGCAGTTGAGGGTAAGAAAGTGTTTGGAGAAGAGGGGAAGTAATAAAGCAAATTGTCCCTGGAAAATGGATTATTTAACCACTTGGCTAAACACACACAGAGCGATAGTTTCTCTTCCTTTTCAGTTTTTGTAAGGCAGTCTGCATCAATAACAAAAGACATAAAGATTATTCTCACTGTTCAGATTTCATGCCTGACGAATGTTTCTTGTATCTCAGTGTTTACAGGCACCATTCGTTGCATCTGTGTCACTATCTGCAGCAGCCTAAGGGCTGCCACACATCACCAAAAGTTCTCTTTTCATGAGTTGCACAGCTTCTCATGTGTAGTTGTAGTCACAATCCTCTCTTTTTAATGTTGCAGACGCTGACAGATGAGCTGGCCCAGGCTAGAGATGAAAACAAGAGGACCCACAATGATATTATCCACTCAGAGAACATGCGGCAGGGACGCGACAAGTACAAAACACTGCGGCAAATCCGGCAAGGCAACACCAAGCAGAGGATTGACGAGTTTGAGGCCATGTAACATCATATTACAGCAAGGCAGGACTGTGGGAGAGGCAGATCTTAATGCTGTGTTCTTGTTTGGGGGGGGTTGCTTTCTTGTGTCTTTTGTTTTTCTTGAGCAGGGGTCACTGTATGATGTATTTATCAACTGTTCTCTAAACGCAGAGGCTTTTGACTCTCCTCTTTATCCCCTACCAGCCACTAAATTTGGTGTGGTTAAAAAATTGTCATTCCACTGATCTTGGTAACTCCTGCTTAGTGCCAAAAGGCCTTACATTGCATAACCCTTTAAGCAAGGCAAAGGCTGATAGGCCGTGCTTCTAGTCGAAGATACATGTCCTGTGGCAGGTGCTGGATTCAGTTGGTCTAAAAATAAGCAATTGTGGATGAATTTTGTGCCATATGTCTTTATTGCTTTTGTTTGTTTTGTTTTGTTTTTAGTTAGAGCATGAAGACTGTTGAGAAGATAGACTGTAGAACTTGGGCTGTCCAAGAACCTGTATGCATGCACACGAGGGTGCCTGCACACCCTGATTTTTGTTTTTCCTCCCTCTCCTTCCCCCTGCACCCTCAAAAAAAGACAACCGACAACACCTGAGAACTAGTTCACTTAGAAGTGAGGCTCTTCGGTTTCTCCTGTCAGTTGGAGAGATTCTGCAGTGATGGCTCAGAAACGTGGCATAGGAATTTTCTTTGCTACCCTCCTTGCACAACAACCAGGCAAAGGCTTTGCTGGAATCTAATACACTACCAAGTTTACATTCCAGCTTCAATACTGATCAGTTTTAGTGTAGTATTTATATATATATATATAAAACCAGGTAATACATGGATTTTAATACTAGTTTAAAAGGGAAAATGTTTTGCTCTGTATATTTTGTTACTTTTCAGATTTTTAGAGATGCAAGTCTTACTAAATGCCTAGATAACACGTAGTCTGATGTACTGCAATAGCAGTATAACCAATTATTTACTATAAAGCATTATTTGTAAAGATCATTTTTGTACTTAATGAAATTGTGATATGTAAACATGATCCAATATATACAATTTTACTGCACCTATTTTTCTAACAAATTTTCTAATTTTTTAAATGTTTGATTTAAAGTTTCAGACTCCAAACATGAAGGGACTGTTTGTTTATATCACAGTTGTATTCTCTCTATTAGAGAGCATTTCTGTGATCACTCCTTCCTCACTAATATTCCCCTTTCTTTGAAAATCTGTTAGAAAGTGAGATACAGTATGTTGTCAGCTCTTCCATTTACAACATCTATGCTGCTTTGTACTCGAGTTGAATCTTATTGTGTGTGTGTTTTTTTAATGTTATTTGCAGCAGCACACATCTAAATAAAAGATCTGCAAGGTAACAAAGGACTTGGAGTTGAGTTTGTTTTGTATGGGGTGTGTTTTGTGTGAAGTGCTGCTGCCATTTCAGTTCCTAAGTTTAGCATATGAATCTGTATGTCTAACTTATGTCCCTATGAAAATGCATAATGACCTGGGATAGTAGTAAAGGATAATACTTGTTATAAGGATCATTGTGATGCTCCTCACTGAAGAGGTAAAACCATAGTGCTAGTTACAGCCGCGTGGATGTTCTTTTCATGGCAGCAGTTAAACTCCATCTAGTTGGTGTTTCTCTCTAAGTTGCATGTGGTGCAACAAAATCGGAGTGAAAGCCCCTAGTCCCCTTCAGGATAGGGGCTCGGCATTTGTCATCTCTAAAGTATTACCATCTATGATTACAATTAAACAATAACTAAAATAGCCACATATCTGTACACAGAAATGGAAAGCTGCATATCACATGGCTAAGATTGCCTTGCTAGCATGATGCATTTCAGACTGGACTTATGACCCCTGAAGAAATAAGACTTGCCTTATATTAATACTTACTATATATTGAATCTAGAGACACAAGCAGCAAAACCTCAACTTTCGGAGAATTAAAACCTTAAGCGCATCACACACCTTTGAACAGGTAACTTTATTCCCTAAAAGCCAGTGCACATACTGTTATTAGAACACCTTTTCCTAGAAGGCATTTGCCACTTGAATTCATACTATAATACCTCAGACAGAGGGGAGGAAAAAGCATGGTGCTGTAATCTCACTTATGATTTGAAGTTTTCCTTATTTGGATGCAGTACAAGTGAAATGTCCATCCACGTGTTAGGGGTGCTGAGCACTTTCTGCCACTGAAGCACTGCCTCAGAATTGGGGTCTCTAAAGCCGAATGATTCTTCTGCAAGAAAGCAAAGTAAAAGACCACAAGGTTACTCTTCATTTGGCCTTACCCAAAGACTTTTCTAGGTCCAGCTCTGCACAACTTATGCCCTTCAAAATGACTAGGTAACAACAACAAAATGGTTTATTTCAGTTCCATAGCAAGTTCAGCTGTCCAGTAGCATCTTCCTTGTAATAAATCGCAGTTATATATTTGAAGCATTATTAACATCATACTAAACCATGAACAGTCTTTGTAGAACTCAGTCTACAGCAAAAAGAAACTTCTTAATTTTACTGTTAAAGGCAGAGGAGAAAATGCACATTCTAGAAACAGCAAAATGACACTTGAATATGTGACTATATAAAGAGCTATACATGAGTCAACACTACCTTTGGTGGCAGATACATTTTCTATGTCTGTCTTGTGCTCTGAGGATAAAAACTACTCTCTTTCTTAGCAAATCCCTGTGCCTGAGAATTACCACTGTCTACCTTGAGCTGCTGCCCAGGGCTGAACTAAAACACACGCACGGGCTTGCTGGATCAACGCTTCAGAGTGCGAGCTGCCTAGGAGTGCCTAGCCAGGGTACACGGCGGGCCTCTGGCTACATACACACACACACACTCACACTTTTAAAAATATGTATGTATATAAGCACATGACAGCAACTAATAATGTAGTGTAAATAGTATTTAAAATGTAAAATGCCCTTGATCCCACTTCATACACCATTTTCAGTGGTAAAGAACTTACTTGCCCCAAAAGCAGCTCCCCCCAGGAAACGATCACTTGAGCCAAAAGACGCCTGGTCCCAGACAGTCAGGTGCAGGCATGACTGCTGCAGCCGAGCTGGGCTGACACCACCAAAGACAAACAAGTGTTTCCATTGAGGACAGACTTCTTTCTTCAGGACAGGAGACTTTTGCTTTACTGCTGTTTGGTCCGGAAGGATAAGACAGCTTCTCAAAAACAAGTAGAGTACAGCAACGTCATCAATCTATGCTGCACATCACTCGATCAGAAAACAAAATATTTGTGCTGAACAGCTAGGGCCCGCTGGTTTGTCGTAAATAGCAAAAAGTTCAGCGTAAGCACTAGGTAGGCTCTGACGCTACTTTGGTTCTTTTGGGACTTGCCCTTCCTCCTGTGTCCCTCCAGTGTGGGCACCAGTAACGACTGCTTCTCCTCTGCTGCCAGGGGCTGCTAAGGAAGCGGTTGTTCCGCAAGGGAGTCCCCAGGCCTGAAGCCTGCCCCGTTCAGTAGGTGGAATGAGCACCCATTTCACCACTGACAATAGGTGCTACAGCTGCTAAAATGTCTTTGTGAGATGTATCCCAGTATCCTACTTCCAGCAGCACCTGATGTCTGACAGAAAGTAAAATGACCCCCCCATGATCCCGTATAAGCTACTCGGACAGTCCGTGGAAAAAAAAAAAATCCTTCCTCTTTTAAAATGCCTAGAATGAAGAGGATAAAGATACAGATACAGATACAAAGCTGTATTCATTCTGCAAAAGTATAGCTGAAAACAGGAATGAAACTACAACCATATCACCTCCCTCTTGATTTGCAATTTCTTCCCTTTTTCTCCTAACACCTAAAAGCTGATCTTTAAAACAGTGAATGCTAAATTTTAGTAACAGCAAGCATCAGTAAGCCTTGTAAGTTCCATTTGGGACTTAAAGAGTAGACTGGACCCTCCACTCCCCTGCGGCAGGCTGCAATCAGGCAAATTGCCAGTGTAAACTGTCACCACTACAAGGAAGTCTGCCTAAGAGAGTGGACAATGCCACTTTCACATGACTCCTGGTCAAACTATGTTAATATTTACCTCTGTGCAGGATGTGTGTGACGTGTTCTATTTGAAGTGTTAAGGCTCATACATACCCCTTAACGAAAGAGTTCAGTGTGCCAGCAGATCTTGGCACAGGCAGGTTCTTGGTCCCACAGATCAAAACTTGAAGCTGGCAGCTGGGAGCAACTTGGTCTTTTTTTCCTGAAGGAAAAAAAAAGGAGCAGGTATCACATTTAATAACCAATAGCTTAAGATGCTACTATAGGTAAGGAGGAAAATGACCGAACAGTATTACTGAGATAAGGCCTCATCATTGCACTGTATTAGAATTATTTGAAAGACTGCTTATATGGAACCTGCTTATATAATAGTCTAAAATTCAAACACAAAAATGCAAACAAAGCAGCAGCAGGCTACTTGCCTTGTGATTCCCGTTTCAAACACAGAGCTTGCATTTGCATTTGCAAAGACAACACAGAGGGCAGGAGCCACACGAGTGTTTCACTGAAGCACAGCCAGGAGCCGGCCAGCCAGACTACCCCACAGTGTGAGTCCTGTGCCACAGCTCTGTCTCTGCCCAAAAGTGTAGGCAGGCACACAAGGAAAATGAAGAAAGGGGGATGGGAAATCTGGGTTCTTTTTGGCAAAAAATAGGAGCAAAAAACAACAGAAAATTAAATCTAACAGTGAATCTCATCTTTCTATAGGTCTCTTCCTGTTGCTATGGTCTTCACCATAGGCAGCACTGCTATGGCCTCTGTCCTGCAGTCACTCTTATGGCCTAATGAGATAAGGAAAATTACATTGTCCTGTTCCCTGCCTCCAACGGTTTATTTTCCTCCATCAGCAGACTTGCTCTGATGCATTACAGCAATACCTACAAACCTAGCATGTCATCGTCATCTACATTTTGAACCAAACATTCTCCAAAGGAAATAATCTCCCCAAAACAAGACCACTGGGGGAAGCCAAGAGTGCATGTCTGGTGCCTTAACAAAATAATTCCCTTCTGCCTTTTCCCTGAATTGAGTCTCTACTGCCAAACTGGCCTTGGGCAACAAAACTGTTGCATCACCTCCAGAATAAAGTCTACCAGCAACAGCATATATGCACAAGCTTGCCAAACACCTGGGAGCATCATACTACTGCCATCCTAACTACTGCCATCCTAACTAGCAGCTGTCATCGGTATTAAAAGGAATAAAATGTCAAAGTTGGCAAACTTTTGAATCTTAATGAATTTGAGATATACTACACCTCGAACCACGATTTGCTGTAGCTGTTAAAATCCCAGACAAGAATATTGTCTACACATACAGACACACACTGTTGATTGCTTGTTGATCTCACTACTTTTCTAGCCAGCTTTCATTTGTGCTGAAATGTTTTATACCTTCTCTCATCCACTTTTCAAGCTGGAAATTCTTATCCTGGGCTGGTACTGACAGTCTTGCAGACACCAGGAGTTCACCACTGTACTGGCCAAGATTATCTTCAGGCTTTTCAAGCTGAAGAAAGGACACACAGAAGTTCGCATTACTGTAAACATGCTATTGCACATCAATCTTGGAGAACATTTTTACTTAGAGAACATTTACACGTCTCACTCATGGGCTGCTTTAACAACATTCTTCCTCCAGAGATCATCTAGTCCAACCCCCTGCACAAGCAGGGACACCCAGAGCACATGGCACACGGTGGCATCCAGGCGGGTTTGGAAGATCTCCAGAGAAGGAGACTCCACAGTCTCACTGGGCAGCCTGTTCCAGGGCTCTGCCAATGACCTCAGGGAGTTCACTGAGCTTTCACTACAGGCTGTTCTTCAGACGAAATTAAGCACCAAAACCAAGAGTCACCTTGGCCGCGAGCTGGTACCAGTTGAAGGATTCTGCTGAGCGATCCTCAAAATTCCATGCTGCCAGCGGGACCACCACTTCCCCCAAAAACACCCTGTTTTTGAGCGCTCCCGCGTGCCACACGGAGATCTGAAGCTGCCGACCTCCCAGCTGTGAGTATTCAACCTTGTACTGGGAAGAGAAACAGCATTTACAAAGCAAAGCACAGGATTCATACCAGCGTATATGTATAACCCGCCCAAAAGAAGCTCCGCCACAGTGTGGCTGAAGACATCTGCATCCAGACAGGACTGTGTTGTCTTAACAAGCATGGCAATTTGCTTCTTATCTCATTCCTTAAATGCTAAATAACATTCATCCAAACATAAAACAACATTCTGAGAATACCTTTGATTGTTATGCTAAAGACCTTGATTTTTAATCCACAAATTTAAATAAATATTGACCATTTTACTCTGCAGTACACTCAGTTCATGAATATATGGAAAGATGTGTCTGGAGAGGGTACCCATTTTGCCACAGTTTGGCTCAGAATACAGGAATTAATGAAGAGCATTTTTATGGACACAGGCAGGTTTTTCTAACAGTTCGCTGTACTAACATAACTCCAAAAACTTCAGGTTTCCTCTTGTTTGGACTGGCAGCCACCATTCTTTAACGATGGTTGTCACTGACTCCTAGAACTGCCACATCAGGACAATCTGAACTTACAAGACTGAACGCTACAAAAGGCAAAGCGTGCAGAGGGGCACACAGCTGCAAACGGTACCTGAAGGGTCTCGTGGAATTCCGGGTCCACTGTGCTCTTTTTGACAGCCGTCTTCCGCTTACTCCGAGGAGATTTATCAGGGAGCAAATAAACCTTAACATACCTTGCAGATAGAGAGAAGGATAAATGTACTGTGAGCACACAAAAAAAAATCAAACTGAAACACATAACTAAACCAGGAGGATTTTTTAAATTATTATTTCTTAAAAGTTCTCATTGACTTTGTACTTCTCAAAGCTATAAAATGCCAATACATCACTTATATCCTACCTTTCTCAAAAAAAAAAAAAAAAAAAAAAAACACTCCACACATTATAAGGATCTCTATACGTCTTTCAGCCAATATGCTTCAATCCTATTCTAATTAGGACAGAATTACTAACTTCACAGGAATCTTTTGTTTTCAGATTTGTGGCCACTGATAAACTGATCACTAAGGAAGTTGGTTACTATGAGCTGTAGCGAGGGGACACACAGTATATTATGTGTTCAGTAAAATCAGCTCAGTCAACTTTAGAATCATTATTGCTCATCCATGATGAAAATATTTCACTCTTTCAGCATCAAGTACATATATTTTAAAAAGTTATAAGCATACAAATAATAAACAATAATTCATAATTATTAAAAGAATTGGTTTTAAAACAGTTACTAGAGCAGAAGGGTAAGATTTTTAGAAGTGTTCAAAATTACCCCAAAACTGTTTCAAGGAAAATCAGTAAAAAGTCTTATCAAGGATGAATTGGACCAATGTCAAGCACCACTGACTCCCACCAAACCTTCACATGTGCAGGTCATGTGAACAATTTAACACTTAATCATTCCCCTTAAAATGCACTCAGTGGGATCCATCTGTGTTACAGATTCAAAACTGAAGAAGACTATTAGCAATACAGAGTGCCAGCTCATGCTGCCTCTCACGGAAAGAAACGCCTGTTACCACAGCCCTATTTTAAAGCCTACTTTTGATACGTGTTTCAGATAGTATGATTGAAACAAATTTCAAAAGAGCCTTTTGTTAATTTATTGGATCTGCTGTATCTTGTAACATCAGTGCAGAACTTAAACTTTTTCCCTCTACTTTCCAAACCTAACTGTAGGTAAAAACTGCTTTGAATCATATTTGGGTGCTAGAAATGTAAGCGTCTCACTCTACCACACAACCAATGCACTTACAAACTAACAGAGTTCAAGCCAGCCAAGGAGCTAAACAATTCAACAGCTTTTAAACAGTGGTTAGAAACTTGCTTTTTGGCAAGCACTCTAAGTCAATACTCGGCCTGTACTTTGTCTCTGGGTTTGGAAGGAGCACTCTGTATGCACATGGAGGACGTCACGTTCACCGCACACTTCGCTCTTCCCCCACGGCCTCTCAGGCCTCTTGCAGCCTTCGCCTGGCGTAACTGCCTAACCTGGAGCCGGTGCCAAGGCTCTCCCTAAGCGAGCCGCTTCCCGGGCTGCCATGCGAGCGAGATTCTGCTCACCCCAAAGCTCATTCCAAGGATGCGCAAAGCCAAACTCCTTCAGGATGAAGGGGAGCAGCTGTGCAGTTTCCACATGGTCACTCAAACTTGCCCAAATGCTGCGCAGCAGCGGGGCAAGAACACTTGTAAAGACAGGCAGAGAGATGCTCTGCCTGAGGATTCCTCAGCAACGGTTGCTGCAAGGCCAGACAGGAACATTCAGTAATAAACAGAGGAACCATCAAGGTTCTACTGTCAAAATGACACTTTTATGGCATATTTTATCCACAGAAGTAGGTATCTTTTTCCTATTACAATAATACACAATTATTAACTAGCTTTAGCTTTAAAAACGCATTGCAGTATCTAAAATTTCTATTCGCATCACAGAGGCAGAAAACGAAAGCACAGAAGTATGTCAGCCGCCCACAATGAGTCAGTAAATGAATTAGGAACATGACTCACATTTCAATTTTCCATCTCATTTTTTAGCTTGTAAATCACATGTGTAGTAGTTTTGCAGGCGCAACCTGAGAGCTAAAATCTGAACAGATATTCAGTAAAGCTGATGAGTGACCCCAATTCCAACAGCTCCCAGGCAGGGAAATTTTTTTTTGCAGAAAATGTTCAGAATGGAAATCAATAAGCCCTGATATGAAAACTATTTGCCCTGTAGCCTGCAGGTGTAAGAAGTGCTGATGTATACACACACGCATATATATGTGATATTCTGAAAAGTGTTAGTGTGGCATATCATCATATATCAACTACATATACATAGACTACATACTATACACTGTATATATACCCGTATTGAAAAAACATCATGTCATTTCTTTTTCCTTCATAACAAAAGACTTACGGATTACACTTCCTCTTCTTCTCCTCTCCATACGCCAGATTCTTGCATCCCCTGATGCTGATTTCTAAAACGCAAGCTTTGAAGATGTATCTTATGGCAAATTCTATTTCTCCTGCAACATCAGCTTTGCCAAAATTGCCATATTCTGTGCAAGTGCTGTTAAGACTGTACAAACTCCCCTAAGGAAAAAAAAATGTTAAAGAAAAAGTAGCTTCTAATCAAGTAGGTAAAGCTTTCTTTTTTAATTCAAATGTCAATATCTTTACTGACTTGACAGAAAAGCTACTTTAAATTATGAAGACGTAGGATAACTGGTACAAAAGCATTCTGTTGTTTTACATACCAGCCCTTTTATAACCACAGTAATTATTGTAATAATTGTAATATGTAATAATATATTGTAATAATTATAACTGTAAAATCTACTCTTTTGGCTTTCTCTCTTCAATAAAATTTCTGTCCTAACAAAATGTTTTACTAGGTGACTTCTTAATTTAGAAGTAAAGCTACTCCATGACTTCCCATCAGAAAATGGGCTAAGTATTTGAGAGGATTGTCCCTCAGCGCTGGTTCCTGAAAAAGCTCTGAAATGTAAGAACATACAGAATACAGAACAAGAGAGCTTTTAGTACATAAAAGATATTAGAGTATGCAAGGTACTGACATGTTAAAGGAAACAAAAGCGGCAATGCATCCCTATTACAAGATCTCTCAGTTCCATGGGGAAATGACAGTCCATATTGGGGCAGACAGTTCAGGAAAGATTAAAACACAAAGACACTCAGTTATCACATGTCAGTGCATGAAACAGAAATGAAGCCTGTGAGGTTTTCCATGGCCTAGCAAAGCCAGGTAACTTTACAGTGTTGTCTACTTTCACTGTATGAATTGATCAACTTGATCAAAGTTTTTTGGTCTCCATGCATTTACAACTGTATTCTTTAACGTGAGTCTCCGAATCTTTTTACATAGCGTGTGCCACAAACTGACAATTGTTGTTCTGATTAATCTTACAGCGATATTGTCCTAGATTGCTACAATATCTGTGTTATCTGTGCTATCTCTGAAAACTCCAGCCCACACAAGACTGGTTAACCAGGGAGTTTTGCATTGCCCAATCCAGTAACTAAGAGCGTAGGGTGAGTATTTATAACTGATCGTATCTCTCCCTTATGCAGATGCTATTCTTCATTTGTGCAACTTGCTGAATATCCATTTAAAAGTCCCATCAATAGCTCACAGAAGCTTTCTACTCTATCTTATAATCTCTCAGTAACAAGCAAATGTAGAAAAAAGAAGGGTCAGAGTGCTAATTAAGGAAGCCATTAGAAGAGTTAGGAGTAAGGCTTGACCTGATGCTTGTTGCATCCAATTTTGCCCTCTCCACGAGATATTTATCAGTGCTGATTAATCTCCCTCGCACCTTTGGTTAGTGCTGCTCTTCCTTGTACTGACAGAGAATATTTTTATCATCTGACCAAAAAAATGGTCTTATTTTCCATCAGAATCCTTCGTGACAAAGGCATAGAAATAGAATTTTGCCTTAGTTCGTATATCCTATCAAAAGTTCTACAAAAGTGCCTGAAATTCCACAAAACTTCTTATTTATTCAGAGAAGCTGGACAATTATTCTGGATTTGTTTGGATTGAGTATCACTACACGCTTCTCCAAAATGATCAGGAATCACACACATTCAATGTAGAAATGGCTCATCTTTAGTCAAGACAACAGAGACTTAGCAACAATTTCCTTCCCTCCGCTTCTGCTAGCATGACTGGGAGCAATATCGGTTTTTTTGGAAGATACATCTCCATGGAGCAGCGATCAACATTAAACATTTAGCCATAAAGACGATGTTTAATGGAACTTGAACTTCCACTTTATAAGACAGTAGAAAATACTTTACTTTTAGGAATGGGCTGCCGATAGTCCATTTGTAATAGTTGGCAATGGAATCACAAACATCATCCAAAATTGTTTTCCATTTCTTGGTACAACACCCTAGACTCCACTGTGCAGTAAACTGTGAGGGAGAACAAAGGTCTTTCTGTGGGATTTTACACTTCTGCCAGGTGAGCAGGCTTGCTTAATTTTGATTCCCTAAAAATAACTGCAGGTCCTTTCTTCACAATATAAGTCATGTATTCCTTGACCATTAATCCCGACTGCCTGACATCATCACTAATATACAGAAATTATCCCTAGCAGTTAATCATGAAGGCTTTAAAGCATGTGCTGAATTCTTTAAAATTGGCTTTATTCACTTGCATTGCAGTATTCAAAATCCTGTCGGTCAGAGGAGGTTTCAATGACATCCCTTAAACCTATGATCTGCTTCCTTCATTTCTGTCACTGTTGGCTTCTTTTCCCTCCTGTCAGTTCCACAGACATTTGGGTTTCATTTCCACTGACATTTGCATTACCACAGTTCTTGCACAACAACAATATCGTTCGGTGAAAAGTCTTAAGAAAAAAAGGCTAGGTACTAGGTGAGAGGGAACCACATTCAAACGGGAGGCGCTCAGCTTTTGTGTTTGCCCCCATTAGACATCTGTTCTATGGTGCTTCACCCTTTGACTTAACTTACATGTCTTCTGTCCTCACAGAAAACTGTATCACTTGTAGGACTGGCTAGTACGTCTTCTTCCTCTTTGCATCTCCTTTCAGTAAGGGTTTCACTGTCCTTTTGGGCCCCAGTGATGAGGTGCTGAAGGCTGGGTGTGCTTTTTAGCTGTAAGAGATTTGGAAATTAATTTCTTTTCATTTGATAAAAGTGCTCTGATCACTCCACAAATTATGCCACAACAAAATTCAGTTAATTAGCTGCAACTCACTCTGATCAATCTAAGGATTGATCACATCTCCAAGGAGAATGTAGTAACTTTTTTTTAAAAAACATTTTACATCTACAACCCCTCATCGCAGTCTGTAGTATATTCATTATATTAATGTTTTCCTAAAATCAAAATGCCACCACCCAATGTAATGATCAGTATCACAGAAATTACTAGGAACAGTACACTAACAACCCACCAAAAGTAGCAGTAAGCTAATAATGGGCCTTACTAGTCTTTGATGAAACAGTAACTTTATCCAAAAAATCTTGCCTCCAGGAAATTAAAAAGTTATTTGCAATGTACATGACTCGTGCCCATGCCTACCTATGCAAGAGTGAATGTAGGTTGAGAAGAGACTTGAAAATAGGAATAATGAAGTTCCATTTTAGCTGTAATTATAGAAAATGTTTGAGGTTTGTCTTTGCTTTGTCCTTAAATCCATTCACCTTCCCAATCTTCCCAATAAAATCCCAACAATTTGGGAGAAATTTATCTACAAAGTAGCAAAATTTCTTGAGATTTATTTTCTGCCACCTCTATTACCAACTTACTCAACTGACTTAATGGAATGAAGTGTCAAAACACTAATGCACATCTAGAAATATGTTAAAAACAAGTCTGGGATGATTCCGGCACACCATTAACCCTGACTAATACAACTCATGAAAAATAAGTTCGTATGTGAATGGATAGAGAAAGAGTGAGAAGAGACATTTTATAAGATTAGTATCTGAGGAAATCATTCATTAGAAAAAAAAATATGACAAGGATTACCTGAAAGACTAGAAAGAAGTGACTGAATCAACTAAATGATCGTGACTTTTAAATAGAAGGAGAAGATAAGGCATTTTTAAACAGCCAGGGAAGCCTCCCTACACCATCAGCAAGAAAGCCCTGAAGCATGAGGACATGAGAGATGATATGCACTTCTGAAAAACAGGATGTGCCAAGCCAGACCAGCACACTGTTATTATAATGCACAGAAATTGTTTTGTGTAATAACTGCCCTACCTAAAGGACAAACTCATCAAATTCCCTAATGAGGAAGGAGACAGCTATAAAGTACATTCAGAATATAGTCTCAAAAAGAAAAAAAAAGAAAAAAAAAGAGCATCTTAAGAGTATCTTTCTCAGCAAAGAATCTGTCTTCTGCTATGCAAGTCCTTCTTCATTCAAAGAGGCACAACTTTCCCATTCTTTTCTTTGTAAATAAAAGGGTTGCCCTAAAAAACTTGAAACCACTACTGATTTCATTTCCTAACCACAACAGCCTACTCAACACTGACACATAGTGCGCTGTATTTTCTGCATTAAGCAGAAAATAAAAGAATGATTTGGCAACACAAATATCACGCCTAAAGTTAGTTAGGTCCTGAGCAAGACTCGCAGCTAGCCCAGCTCTAATGCCCACATGAGTGGGCACCTGCTGTTACAAGAGAGGTGACCGACAGCTCCTGATGGCACAAACAGCTTCCAGAGCCTGCCCGTTTTTGCCTTTTCCCCCAGTAAAGGCAGATATAACCCAGATATTTTCTTAAATTCTTTTAATGACCTTAGAGATTCTGATGACGAGAGGCCCTAGGCACTCCCTTCAATCACTCTGTAAATCCAGTTTTTACACTGACTGATAGTTCTTGCCGCTAGATTTTCACTGTTACTGAACTATTATCTTTCTCAGCTTCACTTCAGGTGATCAAGTTCAGCACATACCATAAATAGGGAGAAACTCACTTAAGAGACAGATCTTACTCTTGAAACTGAAGTGCTGACCCATTTTTATAGTTTGTATGTTCAAAATGGAAGAGTTCCAGACATTACTTCCCAGTTAATCCTAGGGGGAAAAAAAAAGGATGCTTTCCAGGAAAAAAAAAAATACTATTTCAATTATCTGAAAATGTAAGTTCTCTCTTTGGTGGTAATTGCAGCAAATCAGATTTCTAGATCATGTTTCATTTTAAATTTCAGTGATTAATTTTCAAAGTTATTTTGCAAATGAATTGAAAGCAATTGAAAACAGGTTCTGTGACTAAACTTAGTCATGAGTTCTGGTAATGATATAAACAACTACTCTTACTAAATGAAAAGAAAAATCAGAATAACACAAAATAAACAGAAGAATAATGTAATGCTGCCACTGACAGAGATTAAAAATATATTTAAATCACATAACAAATATGAAAAGCCACCACGTAGGTGGACAGGCAAGTAAAATTTCTTTCAATATTGAAAAAACAAACCTGTGATGATGACATTCACAAGAGAAAAAAGATCAAAAGTAATTCCAGCAATTCTAGCTTAGATGTAGCTGAACTGGTTTGAGCGAAATCCTAACCCACAGAAGTAGAGCTCTGGCAATACCAACAAAATTGAGCTTTCAAAATCTCTACTGCAAAGGATGGACAAAAATTAAATCCTAAATCTTCAAAGTTATTTAAATTGTACATAAATTATTTGGTATCTCCTACTTAATACATTTGTCAAGCCAAAAATCCGTATGTATCCTTAAAAAATGACCAGTGCATGTGACCAGCATGCAATGTAGTAAGGTTAAAGTTCATATTTTCTCCAAGTCTGATGTTTTTTCAGTGCAATCAAAGGGCAGTACCCTGCCAATAAAATAATACATGAAGAAATACGGAAGTGTGGTTTGCCACGAGAGCAGTTGTGTTGCCTGTTTTATTTTTAACATGATCATATATAAAACCACCAAAAATAATTTCCCAGAGTTCCCAGAAGCTGTTGGGCCAGTTCAAACCCCTAGCCCATCATTTCTGACCTCCTACCTGCTCCGTTTAATACCTAATGCTTCCAGGGAAAGTGAGAAGTGCACCAAGCTGGCAGTGAGTGACAATTCCCATGAGGTCTGGCCCAAAGCAAGAACATTTTTCATTATCTAGTTCAGCCACCTAGGAGGTCATATACACCTCAGTATGTCACTCACTGGATGGGGAAGATTTCACAGGAGATGTGAAAATGTAAAAATCTTCAGTGCAATTTTAAAGCAGACACACAACATCATTTTCAGCCTTGCAAAACTTGTGAAATAAAAAGAAAAATTGAATTTTTCTCAAATTTTTCATGAAAACACTGAAAGCTTGTGGCTGCAAGCAAAGCAAAAAGAAAATCAAAGTTGCTCTGCAACTAAAAGCAGTCATCATTTTCTCCTTTTCAAAGAGCAAAAGGCTCAGAAAATGTGAGGATGGGTTTGATTTGGTCCTGTTCAGCAACAAGAGGGGAAGGAGCAGGACAAGAGATAGAGCATCTCCTTGCTGCATGATCTGTGTGACCATCAGGCTGCAATCAGTCCCTGGAGGGTCTGTGAGTGCCTGCCAGCAAAACAGCATCATCCTCTCCTGCCCCACATGAGACTCTCTAAAAGCACCACCTCAGGCATTAGCTCTGAACTAAGGCCAAGCATGAAGAGTTGGTCAAAAACCTTACAAAGAACCAGGTTTCTGGCCACGGTGAGCATGAGCTAACACTGCTCCTACAATAAAAGTAAAATTGCATATGAAAGTAAACATTCCTGTAAACATACTTAATCCCCCAAACAGACCTTACACTTCCAGACACCGAGTATAATGATTTAGATACCCTGCTTGTAATGTTGATGGCAGTGTCAGACTGGCTCCTCCTTTCCTTCCTCTTTTCCACATTCTGCCCGTAGTCTGTGGTCAGGTGGCTTCTATCAGCCATATCGTTCTGGGACTTAGAGATCTCTGAAGTGAATACAAAGAGAGAAGTTGCTATTACAAAGAGAGAAGTTGCTATAACAAACATCACATGCAATTCTGTATCCTTCAAGCTATCACCGTGTAATTCCAGCATTGATCTCCTCAGAGTAAGGAACGGATAGGGAACCATGTACCCATCCCATTTTTTCCTATATTTTCCCTGTTGTTTCAACTGGAAATTGCACTTTTTGCTTCCTATCCTTATAACTGCTTCAAAAAATTTTTGTATTAAGTATGGTTTCATCAGAGAAACCATCCCTGTATATAGCTTGGATATTGTTTTGTAAAGTGATATTTGCATATAGGTATTGTTTGTTTTTCTTCAGGATGGAAGTATGAACATTATAATAATTCATAGTGACATTACAATAGATATTAGAAAACAGAGTGTATTGGAAAATACTTAGCAATGAATCAAAAATAGGAAAGAATTGGAGAGAATGCATCCTCAAGAACATTAGCAGCCTTCATTGACTTCAATAACACTGCAATAACACTATAAAGATAAGCTTATGTCCATACTTAAGTACCTTACTGAATTAGCATCTCAGTAATATATAGTTTATTGTCAAATAAATCTGTAGGGCAAGTAGACATTTAGTGCACATTTTTTTTGTTTGTTTCTTATTCCTCAGGGTACAGTCAAAACTTTACTTAAAGGGAAAAACAACATTCATTTGTGATTTCTGAAGATAAAAACTATCAGGCTCAGCAGTAAACACTGTGTTGTAAACCCTAGATAGTTTCTAATGAAGAATTAATAATGTATAAGTGCATATGAAATAGCTATCATATGTTTAACTTATTCAGAAGAAATAAATCTTTCTCTTCTAACATAAGTTCCTATTGGGCAGCCTCAGCAGGCAGCAGATCATTATGATATTCAGGAACAACAGCATTCTGGAGTGATTTTTAAACCCACTTTGGTCCTTAGAAGCATTCAGGTCTCACATGCTTACTGTACTTTGGATATACCATTAAGGAATCATGTGACATATTCATAGGCAAGTTCAATTAAATCATCTCTGGCTGTAAATGAAACCATGTTTTTAAAACACACAGTGAAATCAGAGATCATAAAAGATAATGGAGCAATAAATCTAAAGGAGTAGATACAATCTGAACAATTTAACCATCAGTAGAAGCAGAAATACAAGCTTGCTTCACACACTCAAAATGAACAGGCTACGAAACAGCTTATTGTGAGAAAAGGTTTTCACATCCATTCTTCCCTGGGCTTCTCCACCCAAGCAGCCAGCAAGAAGGGACACTATGGCTCCGTTCCACAGGTGACTTCCCACTGCAAAGAAATCTACAACCAGCAACTCATTTTACATACTCTAGATAACGACTACTGCATTACAACAAGCTCCTGCTGCCAAGCCAAGCTAGAACAGAAGGCAACACTGTGTAGAGCAGCCCAGACAAGGAAGGCATCGTGTTGCACGTGCTAATCCCTTATCCCCAGTCTGCCCCTGGCCACGCATGCACGCCAGCTCCAGGGACAGCATCAGGGGCACCATCGGGATCTCCCCGTTCACTTACTACAACAAAGAAGCAGCTTGTATCAAATACCTCTGCACACCAGGGCATTTTTACCTACATTAGACACAGAGCACTAACTTCAGACACTTGTGACTGAAAGCATTTATTAGTGCCAGGCTGCAGTGGGAGGCCATATTGTCTGCAAAACCTGTCATCTTAGGTCCAGCAGCCCAGGTCTTTCTCCCTAGAAGGTTTCTTATATCTCCTTTTAATTACTGACTTTGGTGATAGCAAGGGCCTGTTATTTTGTTAGAAATTAGAAGCTTCTTCCCCTAACTGAGGGTGACAGCAACTGAGTGTGGTTTCACATAGAGCTGAGTTGAGCTGCCCCTCTGCAAGCTCTGCTCTTGCCTCCTCATGCCCTGGCTCACGGCCACATGGCCCCGTGACATGCAGGCCCCAGTGCAAAGACCTTGCCTTGAGCCTATTTAACTCAGCCAGCAGAAAAGTGCCTATTTGTTTTGTCTGCCTTAGTGTTCTGCTCTTTTAATTAGTTGAATCAGGCTCACAGAAGGGTCCCAAAACACTGATGCTAATTCTAGCTAAGCAGTGGCCAAAAAATGAGAAGAAAGATAGGAAGGAAAAGCAGGCCCTTCTTTTTGGTAGCAGTGAGCTATTACCCTTGCTCGCTGCAACATGCGAAGGCCAGTGCTGAAACCTGTGCTTTGGGTGAGGACAATCCTGATTCCCCTCCCCAACGGCTGCACTCGGACACCCTTAAGCTGCAAACTAACAGAAAGAAGAATAATTTTTTTGCACCCTATTCTGTGTTGCCTCTACTAATGAACTTTCAGTAACAAAGTATCCTAGGCCCCTCTCCACCACACTTTTGTTGAGGAGAGACAGCCATGGTGTCCTGGCATCACTTTAGTCTGTGTTCACATGGACTGCGCATTAAATCGGTGGAGCTAAAGGAGAACGGACTTTTAGGATGGATCGAAGTCATCAGAGGAGTGAGTGAGCAGGGGGTAAGATCAGTGAGTGGCAAAAACAGAGATGAAAGCCCAATTTATTGAGTCTCATCTTTTATTTGGTGTTAAGACAATGAGAGGATGCTGATGATGGTTCAAATGGACACACATGTGCAAGCCCCCTTTGGGAGGCTCAGAACCAGGTTTTCTCACTGGTGCCTTTAATCTCCTCTCCTCAAAGAGGGATTGCTCTCAGCACAGCAGACCTTAGAGATGCAAACCTAGCTCTCACCATTAAGAGCAGCACAAGGTTTAAGTGAGTGGAAGGAAACAAAATATCAGAGTGAGAGAACTGCCAGGGATAGTTGGCTGTTAAAAATATGAAAAAAAAAAGAAAGAAAAAGGGCAGACTGAGCAAAAGGAAGAGGTTCTCTTACAAACTGCCAGAGAGTGAAAATATTAATCCTTATTTCCTCTATAGGACAAGTGGACAAGGTCAATGGTTGTTCAATCAGAGTGATAACACAAACACGGATAACTACAACAGAAAACAGAAATAGATAATATTAGACGACTACCATAGAAACCTCCATTACTGAATTATTTCCATTAAATTCACTGCATCTGAATAACTGCTAAACTTTAAAATAATATTATACAGCCTTTTCACTCCCTAATATGAAAGACATTCTTTGCTGGTATCATCAGCTGCTTAAACAACTGGCTGGATACTGATGCAGAATTTAGACTTACCTTACTGTCTTTTTTTGTCTCAGTCTTGACGTTAGTCATTACAATATCCTTAATTTATAACTACATTCTGGCCAACGAATGGAAGCACGACTGTGGAAAGATGATGCAGTGAAAGCTACTTACTTTTCATATGTGTTGTGAGAGACAAAAACAAGTTTTCCACAGACTTATTAAATCTCTTAGTCTGAGAGAGTTCCTGCAAATGGAGAGTCCAAAAATAAGAACATATTGAATATTCACTGTGATTCAAAGTTTCAACATCAGATACCTGCAGACCACACAACAAGAAAACAAGGCTGCAGTCTGCACTTGCCTCTGTAGACAAGCACATCTAAGCACATATTTTTACACAATTGCAAACTGTCACACTGATACATGATCGTGGAGGACTATCTTTTCAGTTCCCTTGATATTTCAGTTTCCTTGTAAGAAGATCTCATGGCAATTTCACAAGTATAACTAATTACATGACTGATTCATTGTAATGTATTTAATGCTTCAAGTTGGAAAGTCGTGTCTATTACTGAGCTGCTATTGTGCTCCTGTGCCTCTGATAGCAAAGAATTTACAAAGTCCATGTAAGAATACATTAAATAGTTTAAGAAAAATAGCAGTGGATTTCAAAGTTAGGGCCTTGAGATCCAGACTAAAACCAGCTGAAGAATTCAGTAACATTTTGTGAGATTTCAATGATTTCAATCACTTCATTCAAAAATTCAAACCAACTAGAAACATCTCTCATGATGGACGCTAACCTTTCTCCCTTTTCCAATGCAGCATAAAGTGACAGAAGGTAGCATTTATATGGTAGCTGTTGCTATTTACTGCATTTCTGTGACTGGTCTTTGCACATGAACGACGCCCCGAGACAGTGCATGCATACATCTATATTGCACATATATACATTTACCGTCATGGTGCTCCCTGCTGTGGATTCAGTGAAAGGAGGTGGAGTTGGAGGAACAACAGAAATGTTACTAGATATTTAAGAGAAAATAAACAGGCAATAATTAATATATTATGCTAAGATAGACTGATAAACCACAGGCATGCACAGTATCTGCTTTACGGTTGGCATTGCAATCTGAGCTCCAAATCCTGAGGCACAGGTCTTGCCTAACACACCCCATCTCCATTTCAGAGGCGCTTTCAGAAAGCTGTCACGCTTGTTTCCATTGCTGGAAGGATTCTTCCCTGCCTGGACACAGAGCTGCTAGAGCCTTCCAACCCTCTCCTTTGTCTGCTATAAATAGACCAGATTTGTGAGGGAAAAAAAAAATCTCACTCAGGTCTGTTACTGCAACTTTGGTTACTATCACAGTCCCCAGAGGCAGCCAGAATCCCTTTCGATTCTCTTCTCCTTTTACCACATCTAGGTCCTTACACAGACCTGGTTAGGATACCTAGACATCTGCAAGTTTCCATCTTATCCCGCTGTATCTATAGACAATTATCATAAAATTGAGGCCATTTATTGTATCGTTTTTCTTCTTTTTTTTCTTTAAAATAATAGAGTTTCTTTCACACAGTGTTGTTTAAATAAACAATTATTTCATTATATATGACTGGTATTAACTTAAGCATTATAATGCATAGGCCTCAAATCATTATGGCACTTATTTGGGGGGAAACTCTATTTTTCACTTTCTTTAAGTTTGGGTAAAGAGATGCATCTTTCTGAATATAGTTTCTTCATTAATATTTATTCTAAAGCTGTCAGATGACCAATTTAGAAAATACATCTGGTATGTAAATTTAAAAAACAGTGGTAAAAACAGATATATAGAAATATATAAACAGATATAAACAGATAAAGCTGTACAGGTCTTTTCACTTTAAGTAACTAGGAAAATATTAAGAAAGAAATAGTACTCTATATTGTACTTGAGATTCTTTCTATAGGTTGCCTAGACATAAAGTGGCATTTTTTTTATGTTACTACCATTTGTACTTCAAACGTATTGAAATTTGCTCTTCATGATCGAAAAATAGCTATTGGCTGGCTGGTTCATAATATACAATATATTAACTGTACAAAGTCTCAGCGTCCTAGGACAATTTGTCCTTTTATGAGTCTTACCTCAGTTCCTGATAAGATTTCAAGAGCTTTGCACCAACTGTTTCATGTCTACCTGTGAAGGTGAAAAAAAAAAAAGGTCACTTAGCAACAGCAGCAGTTATTCAGGCCTTTATTTTACTTGTCAAAATCAGTACACTTTGAGGTACTGGCCTTTGAGGTACATGCACAAAGCAGGAGTGAAACCTGTGCCCACCTGACACATGAGCCTCAACACCAGCCAGCACACAGGTCCCACCTGTAGAAAACACCCTCCCATGATTTCCTCTCCTCTCATTCAGGCAAAAAATATTCAAACTTGCTTTTCAGAAACACTGTGTATGGTTGCTTGTGGGCCCATTGCTACAAGCTGCAAAGTGCTCTCAGACTCCTGAGTTCAGAAGACAAGGAGCTAATGCAAAGGCCCACTGCACAGAAGCATATTTAATCCATAAAATGCAAACACTGAAAATACTGAAAATTGGTGCAAAAGCAGGCACATGGTACATTACTTGAACCTTCTGGGGAAAAAAAAAAAAAAAAAAAACACCTCTTTATTCATACTAGAGATTTGACCAACTATAAAAATGCCTGACTTGCTCACAAACAAGGTAAAAATCCTTCGCTGAGGCCATCCCCCTGGAGAAACAGTGGCTGTGTCACGTTCCTCAGGTGCAGCCAGGAGCAAGCGCTCCATCAGGCACAAACAATGGGGGCTCATAAAAACGGAGTTTGCTCCTGAGTGATCACAAACAGAAGGAAGGGCTCAGCGCAGGTAACACATGGCCAAAGGAAAAGAGCCAGAAGGTTTTTAATCACTAATCGTCCTTAATAAGAGCTGTACAGAAAGCAACATGTGATCTGTGCTTGGCCGAAGACATCATTAATTACAACATATTTCTTAAATGTAAGCAGGAGCTTGGTGTTAGTAGAAATAATAAACTTATTAATATTACAAATTTTAACAAGAACTCTGGATTTAATTCTCCATTATTAATAAATAATGCTTGGTATCTTGATTTGCTGTGACTTGCAATGACTTTTGAAGTTGTTAGTACAGGCAATTTATCACTTATTTGAAAATAGACTTTAATCTGTAGGTAGAAGCTAAAAAAAAAATCAATAAAAAGCATACTGATGTAACATGTTTTTCGGTCTTCAACATGAGAAAAATTCATTGTAATGTGCATTTTATTCAGTTTAACTTGTTCTACAGTAAATACTTTCTTTGTACTACACATTCAAACCAAAAGAGGGCACTGCTTGAAGCATACATATCAAAGCCTACATCTGTGTTTTGAAGTTCGCCATTTTCTCCCTTTAATTATATCAGCTGCTTTAAAAAGAAAACAAATTAAAACAAATTTTTCCCTAGAAATCCACCTTATTTATTAGCAGTGAGGGTGACAGAGCACTGGAACAGGCTGCCCAGAGAGGTTGTGGAGTCTCTGTCTCTGGAGATCTACAAGGCCCGCTTGGACGCAGTCCTGTGCCACCTGCTCTAGGTGACCCTGCGTGTGCAGGGGGGTTGGACTAGATGATCTCTAGAGGTCCCTTCCAACCTCAAGGATTCTATGACTCTATGTATATCCTTAGCCCTTTGTGACGTCAACAACACTGCTCTTAGAATACCTAAGCAAAATACTTCCAGTTCCCACAAAATTTTGAAAACACAAAGTGAGAATTAATTTATTTTACTGGAAAGAAGGACATTCATTATCGTACATTATCAGATACAGTGCCTGGGGAACAACATGTTCTTTTACAATAACTATGAGAGATTCTTAAAATAAATAGCTTTAGATTTACCAGACTGTGAAAGATTGTATGAAGTAAAATTACTAACAACAGTTATGAAATACAGCTGTTCTCAAAAAAAAAAAAAAAAAAAAAAAAATTAGCATTTTAAATCGTAAATCACATGGTCTAGAATGGAATTCAATAACATGTTCCAAATTCTATGTTAATTGTTTCAGAAGAAACTATTATAGCTCAATTCCTTAATCTGCTAACTGCTGGCTTCTCTGAGTGCCTGCTACTCAAAATTTGCCTGATTACATTTTTCCATTAACAAGTTTCTTTCTATTCAGGATTGCCAACAGGTACTTAGGATACTGTAACTGAAACTGGAACGTCTAGCTACAGTCACGCGCATGTGAAATAGCTGCCTGTCTGAAGTGAAGTTTCAAGGGAAAGATAAGGCAAAAATCTCTCCAGCTCATTAGTCACTGTAGGTGCAAAACCCTGAAGAGCTGTCTCTTAGTTGGTGAAACACATTCCCCACGTAGCAACCCAACTGTGCCCTCCATAACATTCAGCGCTTTGTATTTTTAATCGTACTGAATAGTCTGACACACAAGGTGGCACAGTTGGCTGAGAGTAAAGAAACAGTAGGTGTTCAGCTCTCCATTGATTTACATCTATGCTTGTTACTGTCTATTCCATTTCATCACTTCTTTAAGCTCTGATATTTTCTCAGTGAAAAAAATGATGTTTTAACTTCAACAAACAACAAATGCAAGTTCACCTCCTTCCTGACCATGTATTCCAGCACTTCTATAGTTCTTTTTCATAGTAACCATACTGAGCTCATTAATTCAAGTTGACATGACCGGCACTTATTCTAATTACTCATACAAAATAAACTGTACTTTTAAATATATTCTGCTGGTGTGTGTTCATCAGACAAATCTCCCACCAAACAGGTGAAATGCCAAATATATTCTGCTGGTGTGTGTTCATCCTTCAGTTTATGCATAGACAGACACTGCAAGATACAGTCTTTATTTCAGACAAATCTCCCACTAAACAGGTGAAACGCTACATACAATTGTAGACCATGTTTTGTGTTTTACTTGGGTGAGGACTATGCACTCCACATCAATTCAGGGCCTGTTTCAGTCATTACCTTCATTGGGATATTTCTTTGCTCGTTCCTCAAAGCCTTTATTTTCACATCTCTGAAAAATAAGCAAGGGACATTTGAATCGACATTTTCCAAAGAGTATTTTTGCAACCGTTTGATAGCTATTTACCAATCTTCCTTAATCCTACCACAGAACTGGCTGCTCACACTACTGATGGCCTCTGGGCAGCGTTTGTGAACCAGGGGCTCCTCCCCTCCCCTTTCCCCTGTTGGCCATGCAGGGACTGCTTGTGCAAAGCCACACACACTGCTCGAGCCGCTACTCTGGACTCCAAAGACCTGGGCCGCAGGTCAACACCAGGCATTTGTGGTTGCACCATCACTTACATCCACAGCCCATACTGAGGAGGGGGAAAGCCAGTAATGGAAGTATTCTTCTGGGCAGAATTTGGGGTGGCTGAAATCTATAACCCAAAAGCAGGAAAGAAAATGGTCTTTATTCATCGACATGCCCTTACACCACTCTCTCTTTTCTGGAGACTGACATCAAGGATGTTGGTGTCATACACAGGCACCAGGATCACAGTATCAGAAAGGTAATGTTTAATACTGTCAGATCAAATAGCTCTGGCAAGAGCAGAACTAGCAAAGCCAGATTTTAAATGGACTTGTCTCCTCCAGTTTATTGTCTTCAACCGATTTAGATGAAAGCTGCAATGTGAACTTATCTATTACTAAACACACAGAAAATCCTTTAAATGAGGAGTAGATTCTCTGGGGTCTTAAAGTACAAATTTTCATCTAAATGTTTCTCTAAATTCAGGGCGTCATGTCTCAACTCCATGGGGATTTTCTGATGTGTATTACTGGATGAAGTCTGCATTACAGTCACTAGCAAACCTTTCATCTCTAGCTTATTTCCATTATAGGAAATTAATATCTTTATTACATTCTTTCTGTGAAATTTGCTTGAAATAGACAACCCAAATTCATGCATACATAAGCACAGTAAATTTGTATAGGGCTTGCCTCCTTAAGGAAGCAAAAATTTCAAAGTGGAGCAAGAGATACTCTGGTATCCACAAAGGTCAGGCAACAAATCCCTGGGACTGCTGCTCCATACCTCGCTTTATCTTAGATACACAAACTGTAGGTAGGATGTTGTCTGGTCTTTTTGTGGCTTGATTTTAAGGCAATTTTAGGCATCTAAAATACATCTTTGTAATCGAAAGTGCAGAATATTCAAAACATTCACAAATGTAAATTGTACTACATATTTACATGCCTAACCATAGATTTTTGCTGCACAGCAGCAGCAATGTTTGCTGCATTAAACAGATGGGCTTGAAATTTCAGTGGAAATAACTCTGAGACAGGATACCTTATTTGTATTCAAAAGTGATCCATTAATAATGTAATTAATTGATGCCTAAAATTTCTGTCCGCTTTACAGCTTTAAGAGCTCCATATTGGCAGTGCCACAATTCTTATCTCCAGCCTTCCCTTTTTGTTCCCCACGCCACCCCTGGTTATCTTGTGCGTACCAGTGTTTAATCTCCAGCTCTGCACTTGGTCACATGACAACTAGGCTGGTCATAGGACAAAAAAAAAAGATCTGAAAAGACTTTGATTTTTTTTTTTTTTTAATGCTGAAGACTATATTAAGCTAATCTACCAGCAAAAGCATGGCGAAAAATCTTTGTTGGGTGAAAGAGACTGTTAAAAGGAATTGTCTCTAGTCTAGACTCCTAGAAGACAGGAAACAATTTAACCACTCCATTTGGGTAACAGATGTCTGTTACAGGTGAAAGATATAAACACTGTGAGTCTGCAAGTTGTTTTTTTTTATATATATATATATAATTCCTTATTTTGCGAAGGAAATGAGAATATTTAAACTCAGCATCAGGCAGATAGCACCCACAACCCACATGATACACAAATGTACCAGTAGCCTCAGTGCAGGGCAGCATCCCACTAAGGCAAGCTTAAACAGAACAGCTAAAGGTCCAGTTTGAACGATTTTAGTCGAGCTGACAGCATGAGCAGAAATCAAATCAGCCTAATGAATCTTATTTGACCTTCTGAAAACAGTAACATGAAAGTTTAATAACAATAAGCGCCTATCTGCAAAATTAAGTCAAATTCCAACTAAGTTCTATCGTGAAATAGTAGCAAATAAATTTGTAAAAAAAAGAAGTTGCTTAACAACATTACTTAGATCTCTACAGTCCTCTTAGAATAATCTATCCAAGCCTAAAATACTATTATTTTCACAAGCTTGGTTTTCTGAATATACTGTGTACACACACAAAGCTAAAAGACAATATCTATTTGCATGTACATACTTTTCTGTGCCACACAATACAAGCGAACAGAACTTGGTATGCTGCTTTCAGTCAGCTCAGAGAAGTACATAATTTTTGAATCTTAAAAATTGCTACAGTGCCTTTTGTCACTCAATGTTAAAAGGGGGATAAAATAAACTCTAAAAATAATGGACCCTAAAAATAAATCAGGTTTGCAACATTAAGAGAGAATATCAGTAGTGCTGCTGATAATAATATTTTGTTCAGGAAAAAATTAACTGCTGGTAACCAAGACTGAAAATCATGGATATCCAGCTCAGTGAAAACCAGCTCATACAATTTGCAGTCACCATGTTTCTCCCTCACCAGGGTAAAAACAAGGACTTACCATACTGCTGGGTTCCCCAGCCTCTTTAAGATTTACAGCCTTGATGAAAAGCTCATTGAAGTCAGCAGAAGATGCCTGACCACTTTTAATGGACTTTGCATCAGAACTAAGCAAGATCAAAAGTGAATCCTGTACTGCCTCTTTGCTATAAAGAGAATTCACCTACAGATAGAGAATTCCTCTATATCAGCAAGACAGAAAATGTATTTTCCTTGTGAAAAAGTTTTAATGGCTGTTATTCTATGTAAATAACACATTCCTGTTCTTACCAGCTTGAACAAGGTTATGTGACAGCAAAGGGCACATTACACTATATGACAAGGCAGTTTAATAACTATCTACTCTCTACAGGAGGGGAAATACAGAAGAAATATAAAAGAAGAGCAGGTAGAAGGAAATATTGAGAGCAGGATCTCCATGTGAAGCACAGATTTTGAAATCTATACAAAATAGCTCTGTGTATATTTGGGACAAAGAAGCTGCTAATCGGCCTATTTTTATGTAGAAACTGCAAAATAAAATGAGAGCAACTATTGTTAAAAGTTTAGTCTCTTCCAAACTCTAGGAAACTTTGAATTCGTGGTAGATATCCATGCAGCTTAAGACCAATACCTTTCCCGACATTCCTCAGGCATTATATTCAAACATCATGTTGGCATCAGAAGAAGGAATGTAGTGGTACATCAGTTTGGTTTTGACATACAGTAAAATTTAATCCAAACATTCACCCTTTTTACAGGGATATAAATCCTTGTAAATCAGCAGATTTGCTGATTCATTTTCAAAACTGTCTGGTTTTGCCTACAAAATATTTAAGTCTTTTTTGTCAAAGGTGGAAATATATCTAAACTGTTTGGTTTACAAAGATTCTGATTATTAGGACATACTATGATGGAATATTGGACATGATAAATTGTACTAACAGAGTGTATGAAATAGGTTCTTGTTTCCAGGAAAATAAAAGCAAAGTAGTGCAGTAAAAGAAAAAAACAACACACTCAAAGTAAACCAATTGGGATCTCTGATCATACTTCAGTATTTTCCTATGCTAATAGGGAAATATTAATATTTTATATTTAATGCTAATGTTTTGTGCTTTAAAATATATATATATATGAACCATGGCTTCACATTACTCGTTAATCCGAGTTCCTTACTCCCATAGCAAGTGGCAAAAAAGAGGAAAAAAACGAAATTATCAAGAAATTGGGTGCACTATGGTAAGACACAGCACCTTCAACAACCTGCTTTGTCTTGGTTCAGTACAAAGATGAGAGAGTGCCACCTACAGCTGAAATGTTAACATTGTTTCCTATGCTTTTCAGTCATCATCTTTACAAGAGGGACCACACCACCTCTGGCTTAACCTGAGGAACCATTTTGCTAAACACAGGAAATGAAATCCTGAGTATATGACTTCGTGCAAGGCACGTGAGGCAAAATGCCTATTAATTTCACCGGCGCCTGGACTTCATGCAACATTTTTGTTTTGCCAGAGGCTTTGTTTCATTAATTGTTTGAACAGCAGATACGCACAAGCCCAGACAGCCTAAGATTCCTTACCCGTGGGCGTAACACACAGTGCATTTCCACAGGCAGGGGTTCAGGCAGACCCGGCACTCAGAGCACACTCGATGACTGCACCCGTTGCATACGGCACCTCTGTTCAGCAGCAGCCCCAGGGATTTATAACAGCGAGCACAAGATTTTTCCTGGTATTCGTGGCTCATGCTTCTTGCCCCTTTCCACCGAAGCTGCTGCAGCTGCATCTTCAGTTTCCTAATCCCAGGTCAGAAAACAAACAAAAAAAACACATGTAAGTCAAAGGTTAACACTCTGCTCGTGCATTATCACTGCTAGTGGAAAATATACCTTCTAGCTTGACCTTAATTTGTGCACAGCATTTTTTGCACCATGTTTTTATGTACAACCACAACAGTGCACGCAGACAGAATAACAGTCTGGTGTAATTGAGTTCTGCTCATGCCAATGATTCACACGCAGAACAGGGCCCTGACATTTTTCATGCAAATATGATCACGTATTCACAAACGCTGGGCCTCAACCATGCTCCCTTTCGTTTGATGAAGAAATTCATTACCATATTCAACCACAAACCGAAATTATCAGTCAAAATAGTCTTTACAAATGCATAAAATGAAAGCAAAAAAAAAAAAATCAGACCAAAGTATCTAAGCCTTTCCCTTTTGTTAACTTTCCTTCTGTTAAAAGTGTGAAGACTCAAGAGCTATGGTTTTTAATCATTAGCTACATCATAAATTGTTGGAAATTCTAATTGTTTAAAACTTTATTTATAACCCTTTACTTGTTTTCCACAATCATTTATCCAGTCCAGTTACACAAATGTTTGCAGTAAGCAAAGTTTAAGCTTCTACATTTAAATATGAGAATAAAAAATTCTAACTTACAAGTACCCTGAGTTACAAACACATGTAACTTGACAAAGTAGGGTGCAAGCTGCCAGGACTTGCTCAAGTCCTGATATAAAGCAAATAAAATTCAAGTACTGATGTAGAGCAAATAAAATTCAAAAGGATTATCCTTTAATCCTTCACAACTGAGATACTTGCATAGTGTGATGTAATTAAATAAAATATTTTTCTTAACCAACGACACCTAGTGACATTTTCAGCAACCTTCAAGAGGGTGCAGTGTGCATGGTATCTACTGCAAGCGCAAAAGGACAGCAATGGATTCAGCAG